TTGAGCTTTCATTATTTTATATACATTTCTAATTTCTTTTTCCTTCAGAAAAAATCCTAATTTTTTGACTCTCTTCATATTAATTTTTCAATGCTTTTGAGCATTCTTAATTTCTCTGAATTCCCTTTATTTTTGCAACACCATATATTTGTTACAGTGATCAGCAGAAAAATCACTTTGCATTTTATAAATTATTTGCAAGTATCTGGCAATGTCTGTATTCCTAATTCAAAAAAGTTTCTTCACTTTTTAATACACTGAGCAGATTATTTTTCTGAAATTACATATCTAAGTGATTTATTAATCACATATACTTGGATATTTTTCATTATAGTTCTTATATAAATTGGAGTCAAACAGCTGATGAAAAGATCTGCTCTGTGAATAGATCGACCATGAATAGATGAAGCACACCCTATGAATAACATCACAGCCAAATGCTAGCATTCAATGGGACAGCCTTCTGAGAGAGGGAGGCATACTTGAAAATAAGACTTTGTCACCTAAGTAATTTGAAAGTTCATAAAAATTAAGAATTTTTTAATTATTAGATTATAAAAAAAGCATAAAATTCTTCAGGAACTTATTACAATATAGGTAATAGCTGTAGACATTCCGGGTGAATGATTTCAATGCAGGATGAAAGGAACATATTGAACTGTATATTCATAAAGGACAGATTTTCAAAACTAGATGTTTATATTAGATTTCCCAATGCCTATTAGATATAGGCAAGGGCTGATGACTTTCAAAAAATTGCATGGGTATCTAAGCCATTTACAGGGATTGTAGAAAATACCGGAAAGGCATCCAGTGTCTCTCAAGTGGAACACGATACCTAAGTCATTTAACCATCTTCAGAAATTTTACACTTAAATGCGTGGCCTGTTATGCAAAAGTGCAACTCCGTCTACTGAAGTGGAAAAATTGGGCTTCGGATCCTAATTTTAAGTAGGAATATAAAAGAATTTTTAAACAATGAATTATTCAACTAGCTTTAGCCACAAAACAGCCTTCTCTACCTGCTCTTTCGTTCTCTTTTTTGTACATCCAGTATTTCTCCATAAAACTGTAAATCTTTTCAAAAAGCTAGTTGGGCAGTAGGTGTTCAGAGGTATTATTAATGTGCCTGTCACAGAAGTTTCTTGTCCACTGGGAATTTGTTCATTTATGGTGAACCAGACCTCAACTATACATGAAGCTTTGCAAACTAAAAATATTTCCCTTCTCAGTAATAAAGAAGGGACTTTGAAATAATACTTTAGAAAGAGCAATGTAGATGACTAATGAGTGACTTGAAAGAATGAGTGCAATGTTTAGCCTTACGAGATTATTTATTGACTGAGCTTTTACCATATCTATTTTTAATTGACCTTTTGCAAAATATAAGAATTACTCTGTGTCTGTCACCATATTTATGAGCTTTTGGTTCTAGTGATTAATGGCTAAAGAAAATAGACTTACCACTAAAGATTTGTTCTCTTATCTTATTATTTTAAAGGGGAAATAAGTCACTGTTACCAACTACATTTATACTAATGCCAGTCCGCAGACACAGTCTTGCTTGTTTTTTCACAAACTCAGTATTTTTAAATTCAGTATTCAACTCAGTGTTCAACAAAGGCAAGTGCAAGGTCCTGCACATGGGGATGTATAACCCCTATGCACCAGTACAGGCTGGGGGGCTGACCTGCTGGAAAGTAGCTCTGCAGAGAAGGACCTGAGAGCGCTGGTGGACAACAAGCAGACCGTGAGCCAGCAATGTACCCTTGTGGCCAGGAAGGCCAATGGTATCCTGGGCTGCATTACAAGGAGTGTTGCCAGGAGGTCAAGGGAGGTGATCCTCCCCCTCTACTCAGCCCTGATGAGGCCACATCTGGAGTGCTGTGTCCAATTCTGGGCTCTCCACTCCAACAGAGACATGGAGCTCCTGGAGCGAGTCCAGCGAAGGACAACTAAGATGATGAAGGGACCGGAGCATTTCTCCTACGAAGAAAGGCTGAGGGATTTGGGAGTGTTAATAACAGGACTAGAGGCAACAGGCATAAACTGAAACACAGGAAGCATCGTCTGAACATGAGGAAAAACTTCTTGACTGTGAGGGTGACAGAGCACGGGAACAGGTTGCCCAGAGAGGAAGCGGAGTCTCCTTCGCTGGAGCTATTCAAAACCCGTCTGGATGTGATCCTGGGCAATATGCTCTAGAGGACCCTGCTTGAGCAGGGAGGTTGGACTGGATGATCTCCAGAGGTCCCTTCCAACCTCAACTGTTCTGTGATTCTGTGACTCTGTGATTTGTAATTTTTCTTTTTTAACAGAAAACCTAATAACTTGTATGAGGAGTGCCTCATGTCCTCAAAATTCCTATTCTATCATTGATATTAGTTAAAATTCTAGACTAACTTTACTTAGACCGCGGTCCGATTTATTTAGCAAAACCACAAATAATAAGCCCTTCAAAAGAAAGAGATTAAGATCATTAGAAATGATATGAATATTTGAGAGGTAAAGCAAAACAAAACCACATCTTTGCTTCCCCCTCTTGACTGAAGCAAGAAAAGAGAGCTTGAACTTTTACTATAATACCCAGGGAATAAAACATTTGATAGCTCAGCAGCAGTCAAAGACTTTATATTTAAATAAGGATAGACAACACTGGGCAGGAACTGATATGATTATGCCTCTACTGATGAGTCATAACTAATGACACAGTCTAATGCTCACGAAGTAAAACTTATGATGGAAGTGAGAAGAATGCAACTGACAAGACCAAAAAGACGGTTGAGAGGAAAATGCATCTACATGCATGCAAGGCTTAGAAGAAAGGCAAAAAAAAGCTTATTTTAACGTTTTTGCAGAAGAAAATGTTTTTCATAGCTTATTGGGCAAATCTGTTTGCTGTGAATGAAATTCTAGGATTACTGTGAATGAAATTCTAGGAGGAACCTACTGCAATTAAGCAAATTATGATAGAAAGATATATTTTACAAATATTGAAATGATAAAAAGAAATAAAGCACATATTGTTTTCTGCAGGATTATCCAACTTTTATTATAGAATGCACCCTCTTGAATGTTGTCCTACCTTTCCTCTTAATTTAGAAAGTGTTCGTCACACACCTATGAGTACTGACTCTGCACTTACAGTAACTGTGATTTTACACCTGACATTTTTCTTTAACGTCTGTTTCTTGAAGGTAGGTAGGTTTCCCTCTTTTCTTCTCTTCTCCTTCCCTTCTCTTCCTTCTCCTTCCTCTTCTCCTTCCCTCTCCCTCACTCTCTCTCCTCTCTCTCCCATCCCTTGTCCTCCCCTCCCTTTCCTTCTTCTTGTTTCTCTTCTTCTCTTTTCTTCACAATTTTTAGACTATAAAGTAAATTTTTAAAAAGTAGAAAACTTTAAGTCCTCAAAGATCCAGAAAGTTCAGAGGATGAAAAAAGATTCACAGTTGATTATTACTTTTTAAATCATTTTAAACCATCCTGAAGATATTTTGCTTGTTTGGGGTTGATGGCATTAGTTATGCTTTAGATGTAAGCATTTCATTTCAAGGCTGAATTTTGTAACTTCAACATTGAGCCACTGGGCTATTCTGTGCTGATGTATACAAGACAGAAAAAAACCATCATTATCAGCCTTTCTTCCATCTGTAAAGATATCAACCTACTGATTATATCAGCTCTCAACCTTCTCCTTGATAAGGTGAATAAGTTGATCTTCTCAGGCTTCAGGTTGTTAGGCTTATTTTCCACAGATGTGATGAACCTCCTTTAAAACTTCCATTAGTACTTCTTTATGCAAAAGTGGACACCTAAATGAACAACAGTATCTTAATAGCTTTACCAGTTCTATTCGCACTGGCCAGAACACTTCTTTACTTTCTAATGCACCTCAGAGCTTGCACTGAGGCTATTATTAACACCTTAAGTATCTCCCCAAAAATGCTGACTCCTGAGCATGGCATAGTACAACATGAGATGGCTGGTGAGATTATCAGCCCTTTTTATGTCCACTCCAGCCCCAGGTCATGGATACCAGACCTGCTTGTGATTCACTGCAGTTTACACCTGATCTGTTAAGGCAAACTAATCAATCTGGGTTCATCTTAAAATGCTGTATTGTAAACTAAATAGATTCAGCACCTGATGCATGAGCAGTTTACCTGTGTGTGCAGTTAAGCAAACTAGTAGTACAATCTATATTAAACTGTCCCTACTTTGCTCATTAATGACAGCTCTCAGTCACTGCTTCCATTTCTGGGAATATCTGCTTCTTGTTTTCCATAAGTATCATTTTTAGTAAGGCTATAGGAAAATGCCTCTTATTGGATTGTTCTTTTAATGAAGACACTCAAATCACCCTATGAAAGTGAGATTCATACTTATGGGCAACATCCATAAGACTGTGTATCATATGCAACCTTCACCAAAGGTGTAATATTTTCAGTATATCACTTCAGGAAAAAAAAATGTTTTGTACTGCTAATGAGAGATCCTTGCTGTCCTGACAGAACAGATCTCTAACAGAAATGACAGTTATTAATGATATGCCCCCCTTTAAAATAAAATTAAAATATTATAGATAGCTAACTGAAATATTCTGCAGCTCTGCAGCTGAAGAGCAACTATAATGCAACTACAAAACTGCTTCTGTTAACCAAATCCCTAACCCTATCAACAAACAGACTCATTAACATTGTGACAATTTATATGTTTAGCTTCCAGTTGAACTATTCTGTCAATTTGCTCATTACTGCCAGTATCTAACCATCTGTAATTCAGTAGATAATTTCTTTGAATATTTTTAACAAACATCGAGCTTTCATTCAACTCCTTGCAATTCCCACAGTTTCTTAAGATTTTATCAAAATAACATCACTGATTCAGAGAGCTCTTCATCTTCTCCTTTAAGATGTGTGGAATACCTCATATCCTCCTCAATTCAAATTCTGTTCTTCCTGTTCAGACTACATCACCACAGGAGATGGGGACATCCTAAAAAAACTTCTGGCAGTCTTAACATCTCTAGCAGTGACCCCAGACCTGTCCTGGTAATTCTTTTGTTGTTTCTCACATGTTAAAATGCCTTTTCACTCTCTTTATTAATGAAATAATGAACAATTCTGTTAAATCCTCTCCTTTCTCTCATAATTCACAGATATTTTAAGCTTGTAAGTCAGGGTTCAAAGACACACAGTCAAGTTATGGAAGCTGAATAAATCATTGTGTCTGTTGAGCTGTGGTACCTATAAATGTGTGGGCTCCTACCCTGTAGCAAATGTGAGACAATTTCACTTAGTCTCATTTGCAATGAGGGCATTCACATGAACAGTTACAGTGTCTCAGCTGTCATGCAGTAACTTGTTAAGTTTCAGCAACTTGATTGTGTGTCTGAGTCTTTATATTCCTTTCTAAGTTTTTTTAAAACATTTTGAAAGTCTAGAGGAGTTGCTACATTTTATTTCTTCTGTTGTTAGAGGCACTTAACAACACATCAAAATTTATATGTTATACTCTCACTGAAACCAGCCGAACTGCTTACATGTTTATGCTTTGACAAGAGCTTTATATACCTGATAGCCTATTTCTCAGAGGGATATGGGTACCACATCAGCTACCTGATGTCACTGCTTTTCAGTGACTAGATTGGTCTCTAAATGCCCCAGTTTCCATACTGAGTTCTCTCCCTTTGTTGGAGGGCATTTGCAAAGCTACAAAGCTGTCATTATGAATTCTAGACCTAGAAGCTCTCAGAATGGGAACCCCTTTTCCTCTCAGCAGGAGTACTGAGGGCTCAGGACTCACCGAGGCTGTGCGCATAGCTGCACACCACCACAAGCCACACAGAACATGTATAGGTGTGACCAGGCTCTGATTCTTACATAGAAACAGGAGTTTGAGCCCTGGTCTCCCATCCCATCTCCACATCTCTTCCATGTCACAAATAAGTACTGGTCCCTGGGAATGGTGCAGTTGGGGCTTCCTCTTATTTTTCACAGATAAAGGGAGGCAGAGTGAAAAAGTCTAGCTGTAATAAAATTCAGACCCTAAAGGGAAGGATCTTCCTGACAGGCAGGAAGGCATCTGTCCCTGCCTAGAATAGCAATTTAGGAACCTAAGCCACACCCTTGTCTTCTGTTTTATACCCAGAGCAGCTGTGAATCACTTCACAACCTATCTCTTCTCATGAGAGCTTCTCCTGTGTGAGAAGTTTGGTTTGCCAGATGCACTCTTAAATTAGGATCTGCAGTGCTGGTTTTACCCTGCCTTAGTAAATGTACTTCTGAGGAAACAGTCCAAGAAAACACAGATACCATGTCCTATTAATGCAGCCTGAGTTACTATACGTCGGAATAATCACTAAGCTGTTCATCTATGCTCCTCTAGCACTCAGTAAATACAGTGCAATTACACATAGCTAGATCAGAAAAGAAAGAGGGGTAAGCTAAGATACAGTGTTCTGCATTTAATTTGGGCAAAAGACACTCTTGGGGACTGTTACGTGGCCTAGCTGATACACAGTAATTAAACTGTGAGAACCTGATTGTATGCAAATCCTTAAAATGCTTCCTAAATCGCTTAGAAAAATTCTGGAAAAATCGTGTGTGTCACTACCTCTGCATGACTTTCTTGCCTCTTCAGTAATTTCACAATTATATCAAGATTTCTTCCTCTGTTCAGTACTGGCTTTATCACCGTTATTCACCTTCACTGCTACAATACATGATCCTGACTCTCCCTCCTATTGTGAAACACGCCTGAGTATGTGCTTGTCTGATTAACAGTATCAGACTTGTGTCTTATCTTTCTGCAGTTGGACATATTCGATTGTGAGGATGTAGGGGAATTGCGTTAGAGATGTCCTGTATAACCCTGTGAAGATTAATGTACACTGCTGAATCTCTGACTACAGAAGTTCCCACTGGACAACCGGATGGGAAAGGGAGGCTATTTTATTATCTATGGCCCTGACATTATGATCCAGTTTCACTCACCATGGCACAAAGCAGCCATTCTGCTCTGAGAGAAGTTACTTGCAGGGATGATGAGGACAGAGTATCGGAATGGTAAAAATGATTAGCTCAAAATGAAGCATCCCAAACTACTTCCTTAGAAAGGTTGTAGTCTGGCAATTGCATTACCTAGCCTCATGGGGACTGGCACTTACAGACATGTGTTAGCCTGCATGATTCTGAATGTCAGGTGCTTTTAGTAATTCTCACCTCCACCTAGGCTCCAGACCTTTTATGGAATCCCCAGCATCGTTGTGAAATATGTTTCTGCTGTGATACCTGACAAGTTTTATGATCAGATAACGAGCTGGATTTAAAAGTGGTAAATATATTGCTTATTTGTATTATTTTTCTCAGATGTCTGACTGTCTCCTTCCACACCTCCTTGCCTCCCTTGTTTTGCTCCTCTTCTTTATATGGAGAAAGACTTTCAGAGTGGCTCTACTTTGCTGTTGGTCTTTATTTTTGTAGGTTTTTTAAACTTGTTAGTTTGGGGCTTTTTTCTCCCCCTTCGTCTCATTTTCATATGTAGAGCAGGCAGAGGAGGTTCCAATATGACTTTCCTTTGATGATAAAAGCAATGCCTTCTTAACAAATGAAGGGCCACTTGGGACAGTAACAGGAGTCCGAAAAATAATGGCCTGCTGCATAGGCTGCATTAGATCTTGGGTCCATTCTTGTTATAGCTTTCACCCTTTCATATGTTGAGGGGAGGGGTGTATTAATTTGTTTTTAAGTGAAATTTTAGAAACGTAGAATAAAAAGTATTTTTTGCAGTAAGAAAGATTTGGCAGACTAAAAGAGGGTGACATGAATAAAGAAGAATTCTGCTTCCACAAAAATCACTAAAAGACAATTACTGTGTGGTATCGTACTGAAGAAAAAGCCTTGTGTGCAGTGTAGGTAGCTCCAGAGTCTATTACACTACCAATACTGAGCTGTCAAAGAGCTGCTCTATTCTCTTTTCTCTCTCTCCCTCTCTCTATGTGATACTGTTCTTTAGCCTCCTGCGAAAGTGATTAAAGGAGAAGCAGCTCCAGCTACGCTTGGAAAAGCTATTTAGCTTGCTTATTGGGGAAATGTCTTCCCACCTACTTACTACCATTTTATAACACTGCAGCATATGGGATCAAAGACTAGAACTGCCACCTCCTGTTTACAACGGGCTGGAGCAGTCACAAAAGTGTCAGGGCTGCTTTCTATCTCAGTGTGGTTGAGAATAAGACTGACAAAGGTAGGTCGCTACCAACAGGTTAGTTTCTTTTTCTGTATTTCACCCACAATATCAACAAAAGTATAGCTAAAATTTTGAACTAAACAAAGAAAGTGTCTTTTCACAGTGATTTCAAATATTATTGAATATACCAATAATAATGGCCACAAACATGCATGTAATATTATTATTTCAGAGATAACTTGAAAGGCAAAAACATAAAGAAGAGAGACAGAAGAAGAAAACCTCAAAACAACATAGGGAGTGTGTTCAAGCTTTATAATGAATGCTGTGATGAGACAAGAACTAATATTAAACTGGGCAAATACCATTTCTCAAGGCTTAGAGTTAGAAAGGGTACTTTTGTTACTCTGGCAGTACCAAATTTGTGTGAGAGCAGTCAGTGATTTTCATCTTGCAGTCGTAATACAGTGTTTGAAAATATCAATTGGCTGGCAAGAATTCATCCTTTTAAAGGTGAAGTTAAATTCAAAGTATACAAAAGAAGGGTGAAAGCTTGGGGCTTGGACAGGATAGGAGGCATTTGGCAGTCCAGATCCTAGTTTATGCTTCTGATTTCTCTTTCCAGCTTTGAGATAGTACTTTTGTTGGTTATATTCACCAGATAGAGAAGCAGAACAGAGAGACGACAGACTGCAATTTTTCTCACTAGTCTCAGGTACAAACTTTCAGATTCCGTTCACTGGCTGTGCCTGTCAACTCAGGTACCTTAGCAGAAAGATTTGCAGGCCCATTTAAGGTTGGCTTTTGAAAAGAGGAAAAAACACAGGCATTCATTATATGCTAATAACACCTACTAAACTGAGAGACATGTACCTTTCTTCTTTGCCCTTTCTGTATATACATTAAAAAAAAAGAATGCCATTCCCTTTCCTCTCTGTGCCTTGTGCGAAAGCTAGAAATTATATCAACACCTGCATTTAGTTTTTCTGGTTGGTTATCCAAGGGGTGCACATTGCCATACGTGAAAAAGAAAAGGATAAAAATGAAGCTGCACTGCTGCTTTCTCTCTTGCCGTATTGGCCTTGGAGCTGGACCAGATCAGAGAGCATGTTGCACACTCCATCAGAGCAATAAGGATCTTGCGAGCATATTAGGCATCTATAAAACGTAATCTGCTTCTGAACTATACCTATCAAAAGGGACCAAACCTTTGCTTGCATATTTTCTGGTTTTCATGCTGAAAGGCTCATTTGCATGAGCAAGTATCAGTTCAGGGGCTCTGTGAGTATCTAAGAATTTACAGTGGGTACAAGTGCCGTTTTTCCTTCTTGGTCCTTTAGCTCCAACTAGAAGTGCTTATATTTTTAGTTCTGGAAGTTTCTGATTCAATTATGATGGTGATTATGCATGCATTTCTGTCCTGAGGCTTGCATACTGGGCTCATAATATTTAATGGGCTTAGACTTTGAAAAGACTGTTCCTTGGGTCTCACAGCACTGTAAGTAAAATAATGTGAGATGATACCATTATTTCTACTTCTCTCATACCCACAGATCAGCTATTTTCAGTTTAGCACATTTGAAAATAACAGATATTGTTTTCCCTGCACTAAGTTTTTGCAGAAATTTTACAAAATGTTTTCTTTTACAAAATTGATCAATAAAAGCAGTACAACTTGCACATTTTTTAGCAATTAGATATTCTCAACTAATTCATGTTTTTACATTAAGGCTAAAAGTAACATGAAAGCTCAAAAACTATGCTAGATCAAAAGTTACATTTGAAATTCCTTTCCTTATGGTTTTGTATGTGTAAGAACGTGTGCCTTATACTTCTATAAAATACTCAAGATTAAAAAAAAAGTAGTTTTTTCTTACACTTTTTTCCTTTATCTGGATTGATAGCTCTGTAAGTCACTGAATTCTCCTTAATGTTTTTTCAAAAATCCTCTTCTCTCCAAAAAGTGATTAAGAAACAGCAGATTTTACATTTTAGGTCTGTTAATGCAATCAAGAAATGATGTCAGTAGAGATTAGTTAAAGAAAAAAAATCTGGTACTTGGCAGATCAAAACATGAATGGGACTCTTAAACATGGCTTACACTGAAGTTCTGCAGCTCTCAGCCCAGTTCAGCTAAACTATCATAACAAAGTAGAGTGATTATAATAACTACTACCCACTTATAACTGTATCTTCTAATTAATTATCTTTTCTCATGGGCATCCAGGCCCACACATTCATGCATTAAGATTCAAGCAGCATTTTTTAATCTTCTTCTTCAAACTTGGTGTCCTTGTGTGTGTGTGCTCAAAAGGGAAGCCAAGAAGGACCATTTACTTCCTCTGCATTTACCAAAAGCTGTTATTAAGTCCAAGGCACAAAGCACACTTGCTTCAATTCTTGCATATCAGGCCTACTTCAAACAATATTCTAATACCTTTCTAGCTGTTACTTCTTGCCTTATATATTGATTTTAAATACCGCAATCCAGTTATTCTCTATGTGCAACTGTCTGTTTAAAAGGCTGCTGCAGAGAAATCAAAACATTTTGATCATTATTGGAGCACTCCAGAGTATTTTCCTCTGCCTCAGGTCCCCATCTGGAAAAATTATTTATCTAGATAGTAACTCATCCTTCACTAAATCTTGAGGGCATTTTGCTATGGAATAGAAAAGTGTTATTTTCTGAAGAAAGCAATTGTGTGTTCTTGTCACGTAGTGGATAGGTGGTTGCGCCTTGATGTTTCTTTGCTCCTTTCTTCTAGTTGTAGTCTGCAAGCCCTATTTTAGTAATGCTATCAGAGGAAAAAAAATTCCATAAAAATGCTGTTTCTGTGAAAAGCATTTTTTAATTATTTTTTTTCAAAAACATTTTTTAACTTAAATATTTTTCCTCAGACTGCCACTGGACATTCAGTATAGGCTGTCACTGACTAAGAAGGAAAATACCTCCAGGTACATGAATATCTATTTTGTGTCAGTTCTTTATACTCTTGAGAAGTAACCAGTTAATTTCTCAGACCACCTGGATAGGCACATTCTTGTTTAAGCACCTAACTACTGACTTTCACATCTGGTGCAATTAAAGAAAAAAGAATTACTAGTCAGGTTGCTTGCCCTCTTCATAAATACAGATAGAGGAGTTAGGCATTTTTTAACTGTTTCACCTGTGATTTGGATTTAATTTTTCCTCTCAGTGAACAGAGTTGTGGGGATGATGACTCTAAAATCCCTTCCCTTTGTTGATATTTATATGCCACAGAGGGGTGAGGCTAAGCTCTGACCCTGTTTTCAAAGGCTTTTCTCATCAGCCAAGGGCAGGAGCTGAGCTCCTGAGGGACCTTGGGTTCATAGCTGTACTGCCAATGAGTAATGCCTTGAAACTGCATGTAGCTCTGCTGCACTTCGGGGGTTTTTTTTTTTTTTTGGTACGCTGCTGGTTTTAGTGCTTTGATTAAAACTTAGCAGTTAACATTAAGTAACTCTCTTGTCACTGTATATTCTCACTTTTTTTACTATTTTTCACCACTCCTCTTTATGATGAGGGTAATAAATGGACCTCTATAGGTTTTTCTGTGCCATTTTATGCTTCTGACTCCATCAATAAAATCTCTTGCAGCAACGCTAAAGTAATGTCTCAGGCAGTTAAATAGCTGCATGACCTTATTAAATGGATTTTTTTGCAATATTTTAAAGTGACTGAGATATTTTAGACAAAACATATGCAACTGGCCAGTTTTGTGTCTTGCAATTTTTTTTAAAATTCACTAAAAGACAAGCAAGAAGCATTATTCATTCCTTCATCTACAGATAAATGTGCACTGAAGCAGTCCAGGCAAATTTACTCCCAGTGGAACATAATTGTAATTATATACAGATTTATTTAAGATTGCCCCTATTCATTCTTGGTATTTTCTTAAAGATTTGTGGACATGTTAGCTTCCCCTCACCCTTTTTTTTGTAGTATAAAGTGATGATCAGATGCAGTGTCTAATGAGGCAGCCATTCTGAACACGTAGAGACAAAGAAGTGGTTTCCCTAGCAACGAGAACCGTGCCAAAGCTTTCAGAACAGCTATTTCCCCTGGATGCGGGCTCCTTTTCTCTTTAGGATGCCAGTTAGTTTGAGTTCACAGGCAAAGCCTGGCAAGCTTTTCAGAGATTAAAACTCCTTAGTATACAAAATCATGACATATAGCTAATGCTATGTTTTATAATTAAATTAAAAAGTGGAAACTGACATCTTTTGTCAGGTCTATATTTTTATTTATGGAAGCTTAAAACAACAAGTTTGTTTTGTTTGTTACTATAAAATCATTACAAACAACTAAAGCTATTAAAGATTCTACCTACGTCTCTCTATAACTTAACTAGTCTTATCATAATTTTCTGGAGTTAACTCAATTCTGAGCCAGATTTTGCTATCTCTAGAACAAGAAATGATCTAAGTCTTAGTCCTGAAAAACTTATGCATGAAGTTAAACACATGTAAATGCAACCAAAGATTTAGACTCATACAGAATATTACTAGCTTTAAGTCTCAATTTAAAGTTAGAGCAACATTACGGTAATAAAGTATTAAATATTTATCAGTCAATTTTTACGATTTTATATATTCAAGAGGAAAATAAAAAATAATTATGATAATATCTAGTCCCTTAATTTAATTCCTTGCTTACTAGGAATAATTTGAAATCTATCCGTTTTCTGTGCTAAAGAGTT